TTAAATTATAAAAAAATATTAAAATTTAAAAAAAAGAATTAAATACAAATATAATTATAACTTATAAAATTTATTGTAATTTTCGAAATAGTCAAAATTGAATAAAAAAAACTTTTTGAAAATATCTTGTATATTGTATTTTCATTATATACCAAATTACCTTAATACATCGATACTTGATTATATACATAGTACTTATTAATTGAAACACATGTAATATAAATCAAATATTGATGTACTAAGATAATCCAGTATACAATTAATTATATGCTATATATGAGTATACTCAAACTTTTTTTTTAATTTACAATTCATACAATCATACATGTGAAATACAATTCAAGATAAATATTAATAATTAAATTTATTTATAATGCTATTTTACAACAAATTCATATGCAAAACTATTTATTATCGGATTATAAACTATATTAAGTTATATTTATAAAAATATATTTTTTGCCAGAAAATTTTAATTAATAAAAAAAAAATAACAATATACTAACATTTTGGTAATAAATAATTTTTTTAATATAATAAATAACAAATCCAATGTCAGCAAATAAATAATCAAAAAATATCTCAAAATCTGGTAAAGAAAAGTATCAGAGAAAAGCTCCAAATTCGATAAAGAACTTAATAGAATTTATTAGAATTTGACATAAATTAAAATAGGCTTCTTAGTAGAGAATTACCAGAGAATAACTCCAAACTCAGCAAAGAAAGTTACTAGAGAACAGCTCCAAAATTTTTAAGGAATCTACCAAGGAACAGCTCCAAAATTGGCAAAAAATTATTATAAAAAGCTCCAAACCCAGTGAAAAAAATCACCAACAGCTCAAAGTCTGACGAAAAAATTATCGGAGAACAGTTCCAAGAAACTAATAGAAATTTATTAGAAACAGAAACAAATTAGAGTAGGCTTCTTAATAGAAATTTATTAGAAACTAAAATAAATTAGAGTAGGTTTCTTAGTAGAAAACTACCAGAGAATAGCTCCCAACCCAACAAAAAAAATTACAGAAGAAAATTATCAGAGAAAATCTTCAAAATTTCGAAGAAACCTACCAGGAAACATCTCCAAACTCAGTGAAGAAATTACCTGAAAAAGCTCCAAACCTGGTGAAAAAATTACTAGAGAACAGCTTAAAGTACAGCAAAGAAAATTATCAGAGAGAAACTAATAAAAATTTATTAGAAGCTGAAATAAATCTACCAGAGAAAGCACCAACCCGGCAAAAAAAATCTGATAAAGAAAATTATCAGAGAACAGTTCCAAACTGGTGAAGAAACTAATAGAAATTGATTAGAAGCTGAAATAAATTAGATTAGGTTTCTTAGTAAAACCCTACCAGAGAACAGCTCCAATTCTGGTGAAGAAATTACTAGAGAACAGCTCTGAAACTGGTGAAAAAAATTACTAGAGAACAGCTCCAAATCTGGTAAAGAAAATTATACAAATCCAGCAAAAAAACTAATAGAAATTTATTATAAGCTAAGATAAATTAGAGTAGGTTTCTTAGGAGAAATTACCAAAGAACAGCTCCAAACCCGGTGAAGAAAGTTGTCAGAGAACAAATTCAAAATTTCCAAGAAACCTACCAGAGAACAGTTCCAAATCTGGAGAAGAAGTTGCTAGAGAAAGCCCCAATCCTGGTGAAGAAACCAGAAACTAGGCTGAATTAGGGTAGGTTTCGTGGTAGAAAACTACTAGAGAATAGCTCCAAATCCGGCGAAGAAAATTACCAAAAAACAGCTTCAAAATTTTCAAGAAACCTACCAGAAAAGAACTACAAACCCGGCAAAGAAAATTACAAAAGAAAAACTCCAAACCTGGAGAAGAAATTACAAGGAAAAATCTCCAAACCCGGCAAAGAAACTAGAAAGCTGAAGCCGAATTATATTAGAGTGAAGAAAATTACCAGAAAACATTCTAAAAAACCTACTCCTTACCCATGAAGAAAATTATTAGAGAACAACTTCAAACCTGATTGAGAAATTTATCAGAGATAGAAGCTGAAGTAGGTTGCTTAGTAGAAAACTACTAGAGAACAGCTTCAAAATGCCAAAGAGAACTACCAGACAATGGCTCCAAAATGTCTAAGAAACCTACCAGAGAACAGTTTCAAAACGTTCAAAGGGAACTGCCGGAGAACAATTCCAAGATATCGAAGAGAGCTCTTTGACGTTTTGAAGCCTCTCTCTAATAGATTTTCCAGAAAACTACCAGAGAACAGCTTCAAAATGTCGAAGAGATTTCTAAAAACGCCTAAAAAATTAAAGTAAAAAAGTTAAGGCCATACAAACTTTTTGATAAATCAGTTCTCATAACCCGGCCAGGTCGAAATTTACAAAACTCTAAAAAAAAATTTCAAGTATACTTATTATCCGGGTGAGTTTTTTTTAAAAAATTTTATA